AAGAGTTTTTTTTCGTGTTCCAATTGCCAACCAGCCCGCCGTGTTTTGTTTTTTTTCAATGTGGAAAATATTTGTAGATGGACAAGATTGGGTTCTTGCATCGTGTTCGAGCGGTTTCTTAAAGGACTTTACAACCGCGCAGATGACCAAGTAGCACCAAATTTGGCTTGGACATTCAATGCAGCATCGACTTTCCACCATTGTTGTGACGTCTTTCACTTCCAAGCTCTTCTTTCATGGCAGAACTTTTTTGCAAGCAGTGGTGGTTCTTGCGCAGCAGATCCAATGTAGGCGCAAAACTTTGTTGCGCTTGCTTGGCGACGCACAAGGCGCAAAAAAACCGCTGCTTCGTGCGCTGTGCAGTGTTTTGTGAATTCGTTCCAATGAACTTTGATTTAGTACGTGTTTTGAGGCCATGACGACAGATCGATGTTGCAACAACTGCTAACATTCATACTAAAAGCACTACACTTCTGATTGTCACATGAAACAGCACAACTCCATTTCTCGAATGCATAGGCCTGCTTAGACGGACACAGGACAACACATAAGCACAAAAACAAGAACGCAAAGAGCAAAATTTTGTCGCTGCACCAGAATGGAATGGTGGATTGCTTGGCAAAGATTTTAGTACCGTTCGTCGCCGGTCAAACACACCTTTGGAAAGAAGAAGTGACAGGAAGAAGAAGAAAGAGAAGAAAACAAAAAAATCAAAGAGAAAGGATCCAGATGCAGAATGGTGGGCGAGGGAAAGGTTTTGAACCCGGATGTCAACGTCGCGTGTCCATAGAAAATCCATTCGACTCTGTTGCACGCAAGACAGTAAGAAAGGCGTCATTCAGTTTCATAGGTCAAAACAGCTATTAACTTTTTTTGACTGCGCAGTGTACTAGTTCTCCAGTAAGCTTGGCTGTGATTCGCAAGGTGTGGCGCTGCCCGATCCTTCATGTCCGAACACATGTGAGTGATCTTGAACCACGCGTGCAGATGCATCAAATGCAACATGCTGGATTCGAGTCGGATCTCGAGCATAGACGTGGCAGCAGATGGTGCGCAGTCATAGCCAAAGAACCCTGACCCCCAGCAAGCTGATGTCCTTGAGGGGTTGCTTTTTTTCGCAGATGGCCACGTGTACGGTAGGGCCGCTAGTGCCCATCTTCGCGTGCTCTCGACGTCTGTCTGTGCCTGGGGCGCGTCATTCTTACCGCGCATCTCAAGGCCTCTTGTTTCTTCGCGATCATGTTGTGCTTGGTCAGCCTCGCGTAAGCGCACTCTGAATTTCGTCCTGTAGTGTGTCATGTGTGCACTGACGCTTCAAACGATCATGAAGGCGGTAGTCTAGGCGGCGTAGCTTACGGCTTCAATAGCTTGTGCATTGGTTGGTTTGGTGAAAGCATTACACACGACGTTCTTCAAAGCATCAATCCAAAGGGAAAGAAGACTTTGATCTACGGGGTTGAGGCGTTGGCATCAGTACTTGGCTGCCTACTTTTGCTGTCCAACCTGAGGCAATGTGACGTGCTTTTTTTCATAGACAGCGAGGTGGCCCTTTCGGCCTTGATCAGCGGGCGCTCTGATTACCCCTTCGTGCAGTATGCATTGACCCGCCGATTCGACTTCGAAGAGAGGTCTCAACACGTGGTTCGAAAGAGTTTTCAGTGCCAGCAGCCGTGCAGATGCTCCCTCGCGTGGCATCCTTGCTCTTCCCGCCTTCCTCAAGCGTCGCTCTGGAGTGAGCAGTGTGTTCTCCGAATTCCGTGCCTCTTTTTCGGGGGCCCCAGCATCGGACTTCGTGAAGCTTCCCACTGTGTAAAAGGAAGGGTTGTCCGAGTGTCACCTGCATTCTTATGAGCAGTAAGAGCGAGTTCGAGTGAAAGAATCCCGCTGCTCTAGCTCTCAAGAGGGTTCAGGGGCGTGCATGGCTCTTGCGCCGTATCTTCAGGCCTTTCAGATTCTGAGGGAGGGCGCGCTTACAAAC